TCCACACACAAAACACACGCACATACACCTGCAAACACACATCCACACGCATATAGAAATCGCTTAACATTTAGTTTAGTCCTTTTCGATTCCTTTTGAATGCAATTTCGGCTCTGCGATATTTGTTTGCTCCACTTCTATCCTTCTCCTTCTCCTACTTTGTTTATTAAGAATTATTTGCAAGCGGTGTAGACGACGTCGTCGATGACTTATTTTTGGGGCTGCCCCACCCCCCACCAATGTGTTAGGATTAAAAACCTAATTAAGACGAATCTACAAATACTTTCATGTAGTCTACGGCATTTTAAGTAAACGTATAACAAAACAAAACAAAAAAAAAACAAAAAAACGAAAAACAAAACAAAACAAAACAAAAATTTAATAAAGAATGTATAATTTTTTTGTAATGTAATTTACAAATTATGGTAAACAAAAACGAAAATATTAAAGAAACATAAAATTTTTAAGGCATAATATCAAATAAAAATAGACGAGTGATGCATCTGATAAAATAACAAAAACAACAAAACAAATTGTATTTATTTTCCAAATATTAATGGAACGGGAAGATTTTGATGAAAAAAAAGCTACAATTTAAATACCCAAATTATTCATTTTTTTAAATTAAAAAAAAAAATAGATGCAACTGATAAAAAATATTTGAATAAATTTTTCTTAACTTTTGCCTGCATAAAAAATGATTATATAATTTCTTACATTTTCAATTTACAAATTATTGAAATGTATATAAAATTCATAAAAAAAAAAAAACAAAAAAATATTTTTTAGTAATTTTCATTTGTTTACAAATAAAATCGAAAAATTTTTTAAAAATTTGAATTGGATAATAATAAAACTTTGTAAGCATTGCTCAATAAAACTTTTTTATTGTTTATACGATTTTTCACAATTTTTACTTAAAGTTCAGTTGTTTTTTTTTTACAAACATTTGTGTTTTTCGTGTTTTTCACTTTTAATTGTTTTGGTTTTTAGTATTTAGTTTTCAGTTTTTATACATAAAGTTCTCTAATAATATGTATGTATATGCGTGTATATATATATATAGAATTCTTTATCTGATATATATGCCTGCGTGTACCCCAATAGGCACCTCAATAATTGAATAAATGGAATTATTTGCACTGCATTTCAATTAACGACGCTCGAATATGGTGAATACAGAAAAAGAGATACAAAAAACAAAGTTTTTAGTATAAACAAATACAAGTAGATACGATAAAACAAGTATATATATAGGTGTATAAGTAAATTCCATGCAACGGCAACAAAACATTTCAAATATATTATATTATATATAGTAAGAATCAAAGTTCGTATATTATAAATTCAAATTCCGCTAGTTAAGTACGCCAAAGGGAGGGGAATTAGAGAGCGAGGGAGTGGGGGATGCAGAGGTGGTTAGCAAAGCGAAATAGTTTGGTTGGCTACCGAAACCGTTAGTCGCGCGTGTGTTGGCTAATGAGAAAAACATAAATACTTTTGCGGCTGTGTGTTAAGTAACTGCTAAAAACAAGCAATACAACGGTTATTTTTTAAGTAAATGCTAGCAACTAAAAAGCGTCCGTTATTTTTTGTGTATGTGTGTGTGTGCTTTTGTTTTTTTTTTGTTTTGGTGTCTCGTGTTTCGCTTACTAAGCAAATACAGTTTTATAGTAACTTTGTGTTCATTTTTTTTTGCTTTATCTTTTTGTCAACAATTTGTGAGAAGTTGAAATTCTCGCTTAAATAGTTTTAAATGTTGCAAAGAAAATACTTTCGTTGGCGTTGTTCTTCTAATTGTTGTTGTTTGTTGTTGTTATTGTTGTTATTATTGTCCCTTAGTAGCGATAATAATTGGGCTTGAAAGGACCGGCCTTATTGAGGCCCATATACTTGGCCTGCTCGTCGCTCAGCTCCGTCAAATGAGCATCGAACGTGGGCAGATGCAGGCTGGCCACATACTCATCCATTTTCTTGGGCAGCAGATAGACATCGGACTTGTAGCGGCCGGGCGGTGCATTGAAGAGCTCAATCAACGCCAGCGCCTGCGTGGCAGATGTAATTGACACCGCAAACGACGGTATGCTCGAGCAGCTCAAATTGACCAGCCGACCCTCGGCTAGCAGTATTATATACTTGCCCTCTGGCCAAATGATGTGATCCACTTGAGAGCGCACCTTCTCCCAGGTGAGATCCGGTGTACGCAGCCCATTGACATCGATCTCCGTATTGGAATGGCCCATATTGCACACAATACAGCCACTCTTCATCTTGTCCATATGCTCACGCACCACCACATTCTTATTGCCCGTCGCCGTGACCACAATATCCACATTGCGTATCACCTCATTCAGCTTGACAACACGGAAACCGTCCATGCTCGCTTGCAGCGCACAAATCGGATCGATCTCAGTGATATACACAATGCAGCCCTACAAGAGATATCAAAAGTGGAATACAGCTTGTTATATTGAGTAATTGTTATCCTGCTTACCTGCCCCTTGAGCGCCTGGGCACAGCCCTTGCCCACATCGCCATAGCCACACACGACAACCTGCTTGCCACCAAACATGACGTCCGTGGAGCGCTTCAGACTGTCCAAAATGGACTCCTTGCAGCTGTACAAATTATCAAATTTGGTCTTTGTCACCGAATCGTTGACATTCATCGCTGGCACAGTAAGTTTGCCCGCCTTGGACAGCTGGTAGAGACGATGGACACCCGTCACACTCTCCTCGACAATGCCCTTGACCAGCTTAAACATGGTGGGGTACTTCTTCAGCATCAAATGTGTGGCATCTCCGCCATCGTCCAATATCATATTGGGTTGCCAGTTCTCGGCATTCACGCAACGATCAATGCACCACCAGAAATCTTCCTCCGTCTCACCGCGCCATGCAAAGATCGGTATGCCAGATTCCGCCAAAGCGGCGGCCACTTCGTTCTGCAAAATAGGTAAAGGAAAGAGAACTGTTAGACAGGTAATTGAGCGATGGTGAGTACAAGTGACTGCAACTTAGCACAGCACTTGGCTGATAAGCTGTCAGCTCTACGGCGCTTAGCAGGTATGTGGTATGTGTAGTTGTGTGCACAGGCATGGGTGTGTGTGATTCAGTGTGTCAACAAGCACGGCGATAAGGGCGCTGCCCCGCTCGATCCGTGCCTGTGTGGGTGTAGAGATTAATTAGACGGCACATAAAAATGTGCAAACAGCTTTGGAAGCCGTCAATGCTAATTGCATTCGATACAGCAGAGCCACAGACTGACACGAGGAGAAGGGGAAGCATGTAGTAGATGCTACGTAGCCGGAGTTGGGTGCCAGAAACCAGTTTCCCTCTGGCAGGGTGTGGGGTAAAGCTCAAGCCCCAATTTCGGGCGCAGGCAAGCAAACACATGCGTATATCAATTATCAACGTTTCGCTTCTTTGATTGCCAAACCAAGCCACTTGAGCTGCCCGCCGACCCCTTTTTTAACTTTGCCCGCGTCATTTGATTGATCATTTGTTTGTATTGTCTCTCTGCCTTAGTGTGTTTGTAAGTGTGTCTGTGTGTGTGTGCGTGACAACAAATTGGCTCAAGTGACTTGCGTGAAGCAACTGGCGCAGGCAGCACAAAATAGTTGACACAACATCCCCCAACTGCATATCTCAGCAAGCAAAGATCTACTGTACTTCAGCAAAAAATAAACAAATTGAACTACAAGGTATTCCCATATAGATATATATCTATATATATAGATATACAGATTTAAGGAACAATCTATTGCAATACTTAGAACGGGTTCTAGTTTCCTTACTGAAGCACTTAACACCGGGTATTTCCTCTAAAATTCCTTTGGCAATGACATCTTATCGCAAGGTTATGCCATTTGAGATTATGAAGTTTCTAGCGTCTACTCACTTGGGTAGAGTAAATGTTGCAGGCTGCCCAGCGGACACTGGCGCCCAGCTCGGAAAGCGTCTCAATGAGCACCGCTGTTTGCGCATTGATGTGAGTGCAGCCAACGATTTTGGCATCCTTCAAAGGCTTGTCCTCGGCGGCACGTTTACGCAGCGCCATGATGCCTGGCATCTCCTGTTCGGCAATCTCGATCTCACGGCGTCCAAACGCATGCTGAGCTCCAATGTTGCGCACACAGAAATCGGAGCTGCCCTTGGAGTTCTTTTGCACCTTTTCGCGTGGCGGCACATCGTCACCATCTTCGCTGCTGCCTGTGTAAGAGGCCGAGCTGAAGGAGTCCGTGGAGGAGGCGCTCAAGGAGCGACTGCGATACCGGCTAGTCTTCTTCAAAGCCGACGATTGTTTGGTGGCAGGTGGGGGCACCAAAACGCTAGGATCTTGAGGCTGGGTAGCACCTGCCTGAGCTTGCTTGTCGCCGCCGCCAAAGCCCGGATCGACCACAACAGTGTCCGCTAAATTATTCATTGTTTGCCGCTTGTTATGTAAAACACACGCTGCAGGATGTTTTATATTTTTTGTTTGGCTGGCAGGAGTAGGAATAGCACGTATTTCGGTAATTATCACGAGATGCGGGATCACTTTACTATTGGCAGCTTTGTTGCTTTCGCGTTCCCTTTGCTCATCCAACGGCGACAATTTATACAAAAAATATATTAATTGTGTTTTTGTGTGCGCTGCGCCGTCGCCGTCTCCTTTGTTTCACCTCTCCGCTGTTTATGGCTGGGCTGTGCTTCTTCTTTGCGCTTCCAGCTGGTGTGCAATAAAAAAAACAATGAAACACAAGCGGCGGTCTAATGGGAATAACGCGTAGCGCTTATTAGTTGTTTTTAGCTGTAGAAGAGTAACGAACTGAATGTGTGAGTGCCGCAAAACAAAAGGTATTTATGGCAGAGTGGAAAAAAAACAAATTGCCGTTCGACTATCTGCCGACCACCACATAAGCTATCGCTATCTTGTTCCATTAGCAACAGTGCGATATAAGTTGTTCATCGATTAATCAATTTAAACAAGTTAATATATGAGAATTAGATATAAAATAATATTAATTATACAAAATATTCGAAAATTGTAAATAGTTAACAAATATTACATATGCTGCTCCAAGAACCCACACAGCTCACTGTCATCGAGATCAGTCACAAGCCGCGCTTCACTTAGCAGCGCCGCTTTATAGCTTTCGCGCTTCTCCACAACGCGGGAAAGAACTGGAATGGCTAATGGTCCTTGCTTGGCATACTTTCGGATGAACTGGCCCACCTGCTCCCTGTCCACCACAGACATGCTTAGACTATTCCTCCAGGCTAACAATGCCAGCGGTCGCTCCGGTGTCAACAGTTGCGAGGGAGTTATGAGATACCGATAAAGGCAGCCGCTGACAATATTCTCCAACTGGGTAATTTGACCCTGGACGGCACAGGGATGATAAAGCATAACAATGGCACCTTCGGCAAGATTACGTATATATCGTTGAGGTGGCAAATATTTATAGGTGCCATAAACGGCAGGAAGTGGACGAAAAGAGCCGCTGCAAACGAGAACCTGGCTTAAGGTTTGATCAATGCCAATCTTTGGATCATAGCTTACCATGTGGCTGGTTCGTGAGTGTACCCAATGGACTCATTCAGGCATTTGGCAGGCGGTACGAAAGCACTGGGCAAAAAGTGTTTCGTCAGCAAAGCCTCTTTGTTCATGTTGGGATTAAAGAGGCTTCGGTTGACAGCAAAACACAGATAATTATAGTTTTGACGTATATCTTCCGGATCGTAATCAACATGTAGGTTATACTAAATTAGCGATAAGAACATGTGATGGATGAGTAATCTAAAATCGGGGAAAACCCTTCAGCTACTTACTACACCATCATCGCAAATGAGATTCTGCGGCTCTTCATGTGTTCCTTTTGTGATATGCGGTTCACCTGGTGCTTGGGGAAACCATTTACCCTGCCAATCGTCTTTGATTTTAGGAGTTGTAACGGTATCAACTTGCGGATCCGTTCTTAAGATATGCTGCTCACCAGGAGCGTAGGGAAACCAGCCGCCTGCCCAGGAATCACCCGATTTGTAAACTTCATTCGAATGCAAATGCATACGTTGCAGTTTTTCTTTGGGGTATTCGCCTGGCGCATGAGGAAACCACTTGCCCTGCCATAAGCTTAAATCTTCCAAAGGCTGTCTCAGAGTGGCTCCGGCTTTCTTTATTGTCTTAGCACGACAAACAAATTGCATGGCACTAAGCAAGCCCAAAACAAAAATGTAATTTATGTTCCAAATCATTTTAATTAAATTAAAAACAAAACAAAAGCTGGCAACAGGTGAATAAGAACAAATCCGATTGCGCAGTTGACGCAACGCATATGAAAACAGCTGCTGGGATACTAAGCCGTGTTGTCCAACACTGGTCATTCGCCCAATTTAGAATCATTTTATTTTTGGTTGAAAATTTGGTTGGTATGCACGACTTGTTTCAATCTCAAAATACAATTTGATGGTACATATTTACAAAGATTTAAAAACGAATTAATACAAATACTTTGATACACAACAATGGGATGACAAACATCCAATAAGACAGCTGCGGTTGAATCCCTTTATAAGCCAGCCTTTAACTGGTTTGCCACTGTGGAAAAATGATATAGAAATTTAATTTTATAATTATTCGAATTTTCTAACATTTTAAAATCTATTTACAAAAAGAATTTATCCAAATCGATAACAAGCTAAACTTATCGAAACTCTCAGCTGAATGCCCAATCCAATTGGTTAAACTCACCCGTAAATTGGGTCCGTTGTCGCCCTGGCGAGCGGCTTCTTCCTCTCTGCGCTCCAAATCTAAAGCGCGCTGTTGCTGGCGGCGTACTTTGTCCAAATTCTTAACCCCCCTAGATTCGTTTTCTTGGCGTCGTCTCTCAGCCGCCTCTAATTGCTGGTTGCGACGCTCCTCCTTGAAATGCAGAAGTTTAATGCTTACTTTGTCAACAAAAATATTAACTTACTGGGGATGGCATCAAATTTGTTTCCTCGGCACTTTGACCGCAGCAGCTAAAGCATACCCCCATTTTGTTATGCCGTTTTCTCAATGTGCGCAGCGAAGTTTTAGCTAGTAAGGTTTCTCTTTGAATACTTTTGCACTAATTACTTTGCTTTACATCTCCCTTTTGTTTTGTTTTGACTTGTCAGCTGTTGCACCGTACATAGTGCCATCACTAGTTTACAATCAGCTGATAAGTTTTCTAGGGATGCGTCTATTGACAATGAGTGTGCGATTAATTATAATCCAAAATGCACTGCTAATGTTTCATATAAATAAGTAGCAAATTAATGTATATTAAAAAATATTGCGCACACAAATGAATTTATTGTTGATAACTTTAACAAATGTACCTGTTTATTTTGCGATTTGAAAGCAATTTAATGTATTGCTTTAATATTTTTCCACAACATTCACAGTGATTAAGTAACGAATACTCAAGAGTTGCTCATCTCTCGTAATTATGCTCACAGCGTTCTCCAATAAGAGAATAAAACGGCGGCAACACTTGTATATCATTCTAGCTACTCTTGTTGTGTTTTTATTGTCAGTTTATTCAAATTCTTTGCGTTGCGTGGTTTTGTTGTACGGTTTTGTCTTGCGCTCTTCTAGAGTTATTTAATTAGGTGAACGTCTAAATTTGATATTAATTTGTGTAGACTGTTTTTAACTGAAGCAAAATGTTGGATATACCACAAGAAGCCAAGGTAAGTTACGTTAGTTAAATCTTAATCTATTCACTATTCTTTCTCTCGGTCCCTCTCTCTCTCTCTGTCGTCTATTTGAATGCAGTTAGTTTCAGCTGAAATGCAGCTGAAATTCTCCAGTAAAAAATGCAACAAAATTTGCCGGTTTTTACGCTCTCTTTATTTAGCCAAAAGCGGCGGCTGTTGCACTTGTGGTTGGCTTTTCCCATTGCGCTGATTGGCTAAGGTTAACCTTCAAGTGACCTAGTCGCCAAGTACACACAAATGTTTCTACATATTATGCTCGTGGGTGAATGCCTGCGTGCATGTATTTGTGTGTGTTTTTTGAGGGTCTTTGCCCAAATCTTTTAATTGGGCTAAAGACACGCGCATTATATATATGGACATTCTTATCAGAAAACTCAGCGTCGCAACTGTTTAGCTCGATTATAGAAATAAACTGTTGATAATTGTTGACCCAATTGAATGTGGGCGTGGCTAATGCGTAAATATCGTTGTCGCTTTACTGATAAACAGCTGCTGCTTCTGCTGCTGTCCCGCATTCTTTTCACTTCCTCTTTGCTGAACCATTGTAATCACATTACCCAACTGGAAACTAACCAAGTGTTGAGTATTTCAATTGTTCCACAAAGTTCGTAACGTTTGAAGTGCCTGACAGATTTGAAAACCAGTTCTCAATTGATTCTGAAAATCAGTTCAATGAACGTTTAACCAAGTGTGATGCATATGAATTCTCGTATGCGCTACAGTGACTAGTCAAATCGTGTATTGATAGGGCATACACAAGTCGAATTGGTGGAGAAAGCTTCTGTCTGAATGGGCCGGCGTGCTGTTTATTCCTACTTGACTAGCTTTTTACTTTATACGCGCTTCTTACAAATTGAGTTGCTGCTGCTGCTGCTGTTGTTTTTTAACATTTTTTTTTGTTTCTTTTTAATGCTGTCATCAGTACACACTCACACACTCATACGCTTAAACTGACGTTCGGACGAGCGCGCTATCACTTGTTGCTGCTTCAGTTGTCGCTCTGCTGGCACCGCAGTCGACGTCAGCGTCGCAGTCGTTGTCGCTGCTGCGACCCTCGGACGTACTCGTGTTAAAAAATTGTATTGAAATTCAAATTCATATTGAATTCTAGCCGTATTTTCAATTGCACAGTCGTCGCGCCAAGATCGAGAGTCGGGATTCGTCGGAATTGTCTTCGCACGGTTCAGCGCGCTTTTGTGTAGCTCAATCAAGGCAACAAACTAACAAATAGCTAAAAATAAAACTTATAAACAAAAATAAGCACAAGTATTTTTTTAACTAATCAAAACCAAAGCAATAGCAGTTAATTATACGTAATAACTTGCCCTTAAGACAATGACGTCAGGCATACGACCTATTGATGTGATGTTGCAGCGAGCTGGCGTAAGTTTTCAAAGGTTTTGTGGCAGCCCTCGCTACGCGATATTTGGGCCAAGTGCAGTCGACTACTACGATAATAAATTAAATATAAAACCCTAGTTCATTTACTTTAATTTACAGGGCATTAGGCACCTCTAGCAGCGTAAATTTTTTATCGTTATCTTTCCATATAAAGAGGAAGGTAACTTTAAACATGATACATATGTATTCGCTTACTACCATTTTCGTTGTGCTCGTTGCATGTTTCATTAGAAGCCGACAAATAGTCAATCTGTTACTGGGCTGAAATCTTATCTGGGAAACAAGTTACACAGCAGGTGAAAATTACTTTAATTAACTTGCGCAGAATTTCAATTACTTTTGTTCTCATATTTTGATAAACTTTTTCGAATTCAAAAAGTGTTGAGCTCACCACTGTGGTTGTATCTATGTGGCGCTATATGAATATTACTAATCATCTCTGTCACCTCTTCAACTCTTTTTATCGTCCTCATTAAAAAGCACAATTAAGACAACATTAAAAACGCATTAAAGAGCTGCTTATATGAACTAATATGCACGCCGGTGTAAGGTACTCTGGACAACTCCTTCCAGCTCATGAATATGCCAAACACATATTGCATTCTAAAAATATATATTATCCACTTATACACACTTATATATGAGGAAAGTGGGATAGAGAAAGAGACGGGCAGAGAGAGAGAGAGAGAGAGAGCTAGTCGTAGCACGTCGTCATATAACTTATCTGACGAATTGACCTTCCTGAAGTTCAAACACCTGCCCTCTGACATATGTCTTATCACTCTGGACTTGGCGTCGTTTATAAATAAACCCAACAACAAACGTTCCAGAAGGCGTGTCTGGCATTTATTTACTTGCCATCAACTGGAAAAATGATTATACCAATTATACGTATATAGAACATCTGTATATATTTTGCTAGAGTCGTCGATCCTAATTGATTTGCACACGCAATTTTCGTCCACTAGATGGCGCTGTCATTGGAACCGGCTAAAAACAACAATTACTGCAAATATTTGTTATATATTTTTTTAACTACAAATATGATGGAATCTGTCGTTTACTAAGCTAATGGCAAAATCGTTTAGACAGCATCATCAGTTGAGTGGGCTCTGCAACCTTGCCGAATGTCAATGCACAGTTTGCAAATAATTACACAACAAACTTAGAATTGTTGCTATTGTTTTTTATTTGTTCGTCATTGCATATTTAGCGAATCATTATTATAAAGCTATAAAAGTGATTGATAAGCGCGCTTTGCTAATCAAAACTCTTTCACGGTTCTTGCTTTTTGTAATGATTTGGCTTATTGCGAAATGAGAACAGAGCTTAATATGCCCGTTGTTGTAGTGTGTATTAGACATATTATTATTTGCTTTGCCATTCAGCAGTTACGCATATTTGCAGTCTTTGAAATGCTCAAAAGAACTCATTTAACAGCTCACATTTTAGCAAATCCAATTCGGAAAGTTTTTAATGTTGTGAATTCTGATAGCTAAAACCCTTTAAGATTATGTTCTCGAAATAAACCCAAACTAAATATGTTTAAAATTCCCTTTTCAAGCATACTTCAGACGAATCAAAATACATTTTTTAAAGTATCCAGCAGTATAACATTAAAACTTACTGATCAGCTGCACTGCATCGCTTTTCATTCCCCTCTTTCACTTATTTAATCTTTATTTATTAATATTATGATTTTTTAAGTCTGAAGTTTAGCAGTTCTAGCTTTAGATACCATAAAGCTGTATCAGAAAAGAAAACATCTTGAATTTTGAACTTTTGTTTTGGCTCTTTTAGTCAAAGATATTATGTTTTGATCAACGAACTTAGCACGTAAAACCCCTTCGAAAAGTCTGTTTCTTATTTACTGAATTTCATCAAATATGATCATCTGTGCTAATTTTATTTGTGCCATACTTAACAGTTAGATTATCTATAGATTACCTATTTTTAAATTTGCCATAACATCAGAGTTTAATTTTAATGATGATGTCGATGTCGGCTGGATTTCCGCTAAGTGTAGGCCGTGTGCACTTTTTAGTAGATTTTGTAGATTTTTTGTTGATAGTTGTGATGAATACACGCTGACTTATTGGGTAATGCTTATCATGGAGATGATAGCATTTAATCCAAAGCAAAGTCGGAAGGTTGACAAAAGGCTAGCTAGACAAAGTCAGGTATATTACATGGAAGCCACAGACAGATCATATAATCTAATATTTTAGAGGTCGTTTCATGGAACATTAGATCCACGGCGCTTATCGCTCGGGCACAAAGGTCGCATTTAGTTACAAAACAAATTATTGATTTATTGACGACAACTACAGTAAAACTAAAACATATTGTGAAATTTCAATTGCGCCTTTCGGAGTATAATATTTGGTATTTCTTAGGCCTTGTTCAATGTTCCATTGCGTGGACAGTGTTTGGCAAAGCGTGACTCACAGCCCTCGCCGTGCTCCTTGAACTCATGCAAGCTGGGCATATATTTGAAGAATGCATTTGCATTCATGTAGCTCTGGTCGTCGTACTCTTCCTGCTCGCCGGCCAAGCGCTTTTCCAGCGAGTTCTGCATGCCCCAAATGATGGGCGAACTCTTGCACATGAGCAGCTTCAGGCAAGCAGCTTCGTTGCCATCCGCCGTCTCCTTTGACTCAATCATGTCCACAATGTGCTCAGGCAGCTGACGGTCCATGATGCGATGCAACATGCGTTGGGTGTGTGCTCCAGGTCGTTGCAAAAACCAATCGATGGGGCTGCCGGGCGACAGAGAACGCGGCTGATGCTCGCTGGGCTCGAACAGCGCCTCGGGTCCAGTAGTTGGACTGTCGCCAGTGCCGCCACGTGTTGCCTGCATAATTGTGCTGCCAATCTGTGTGAGAGAGAATCATAATAAGTTGCAATTGCTTCTTATGGTATCTGAGGTGTAACGCACCGCTTGGGCAATCATCACAATTGCATTGAGCGCCAATGCGCCCAGTTTGCGTGGATCAAAGCCAATCATGCGCATCATATTTGTCAACATTTGAACGGTGTTCAGCTGCATAGGACGGCGGCGAGTGTCGCCATCCACAGGCGGCGATTCCTGTGCATTCTCTTGCTCTGTTTGCTGCTCCTCATTGTCGTCCTCTTCCTGCTCCTGCTCCTGTTCGAGCTGCTGCTGGCGCTGTGATTCGATGCCCTGCTGCAGCACGCTCATCAAATCTGGTTTCTTGCGAGTGGATACCCGTGAAAAGGCCTTGGCTACCAGATTAGCCACATCTGCTGCTGTATTAATGCCAAACATTTGTCCTGCCAGCTTCAAGCCATCGTCGACAACGTTAGCTTTGGTCTGCTCGCTCACACTGAGCGCCAGCAGACACAGAAATGGAAGCCAACTTCTTGCCATTGCTGTCTAAGGAAAACTGTCGCCACAAGCGCCAAAGATGCCCTCGTCTGGTTGCTAGTCGAAGCCTGTAATTGCCGCAGGCACGCATTACGCGAGCAACAACAATTTATCTTATTATACGCAATACCCTGTACGAGTGTTTTAGAGGAACGTATTCACTTAAATCTGGCAATGCTTCTCTCTCTCTCTCTCCATATTTTTTCTATCCCTCGATCTCTGTCTCTCTTTCACTGTCGCTCTATGTCTTGCTCTCTCCATCGACGGCTTCAAGTAAAAATTTAGATATAAGATATCTTCTAGTCGTATATATTCCCCCTTCTCTATTATTGTTACTGCTGTTGTGGCAACTTTTGTCACTCGAGTGCGCTCAGTTTGTTGCGCTTCGGCACGCAGTTTAATCGTTTAGTTGCTATAATTTCTTACAGTGTATTTGAATGTTTGTTATTGTTGTTTTTACCCATTGTTTTGCAGATACGTGGCCATCAGCGCGCTCCATCCGATTCGAAGGAGTTCCACGAGTTAACCAAGCGCGATGCACTGCGTCTGCTGGAGAATGATGTGGATCGTCTGCTCCAGACGACGGAGCCGGCTCATCGGCCAGCCCTCCAAGCGGAAATGAATCGATTCGCAGAGCTATTCGGACGTTTCCTGCAGGAGGGTAAGCTTATCTAAGTCCCTGCGATTGCTTGCCAATAAACTGGTGCTATCTTTGCAGAGGGACCTGCGCTGGATTGGAACAAAATTCAAAAACTGCCCGAAAATGCGGTCATGAACTATTCTAATCTCAAGTCGCCCAAAAACGAGCAGGTATGTATTTGTCTTTAATCTTTGGATGACCCTTAATGGTTTGCTGGCCCTGGTATCTTTCCTACAACCAAGAAAAAACACGCGCGCCCTACCTCAACAACCCAATTTAACCTAATGATAACTTCCTTGTGTGCATACATGTATATATATATATATATATATATACATACATATATATTATAAATTATATTTTCTTAATCTTTTCATATTCGTGTACTTTGATTTGAACACTGAATTGTACTCATTGTTGGCCGTTGTTATTGTTGCAATGACCCTCCTAATGGCTAATGTCTGCCTATATATACATATCATATATAGAATGAGGTAAAAGCGTTTTCTTAACTCTCCACTTCTACTACGCTTCTCTCTGGCGCTTACGTGTTCAGCTCTCTCGCTCTCGCTCTCGCTCTATGCTCAATTCTTAATCTTAACTGGCTTTTGGAACGCTTTTTTGTTGTTGATTTAACTATAGTTAATGCTTTGGTTCTTTTAGCACTAGCGCTGTACTTAATTCCAAATTTAGCTTAAATCCTTTTGTGCTAACACCAAAAAAATAAATCCTATGGAAGGGGCTGTGTTAATCTCTCACAATTGATATGCAGATCCGTAATATGTTGGACAAACTGGTGGTCATTAAGCTAAATGGTGGTCTGGGCACCTCCATGGGCTGCCATGGACCCAAGAGTGTCATACCCGTGCGTTCCGATTTGACTTTCTTGGACCTGACGGTACAGCAAATTGAGCATCTAAATAAGACATACGATGCCAATGTGCCGCTCGTGCTGATGAACTCCTTCAATACTGACGAGGATACGGAGAAGATTGTGCGCAAATATAAGGGTTTCCGTGTGCAGATACACACCTTTAATCAGAGCTGCTTCCCGCGCATCAGTCGCGAGCATTTCTTGCCCGTTGCCAAGGACTTTGATATTGAAAAGGACATGGAGGCGTAAGTAACCCATTGCATTGCAAATCGACAAGTATCTTAACTTACTTAATCCCTTAGCTGGTATCCACCTGGTCACGGAGACTTCTACGATACCTTCCGCAACTCAGGTCTGTTGAAGAAGTTCATTGGCGAGGGTCGTGAATATTGTTTCCTCTCCAATATTGACAATCTGGGCGCCACCGTCGACCTGAACATACTCAACAAGCTGGTGGGCGAGGAGCGCGCCAGCACGCCCTTTGAATTCGTCATGGAGGTTACCGATAAGACCCGTGCTGATGTTAAGGTAACTAAAGAATAGACAAAACCTTATCAACAGATTCATATGTTCTCGGTCTGTGGCCTTTTAGGGTGGCACGCTCATTCAAATGGAGAACAAGCTGCGACTGCTGGAAATTGCTCAGGTGCCCAAGGAGCACGTAGATGACTTCAAGTCCGTCAAGACCTTCAAGTTCTTTAACACCAATAACATTTGGGCCAATCTGTCAGGTAAGTGTATATGCCTAGTCTACTTTTAGGCTATCAATTTCAATGCGATGCCTAAAACGCTGCTTCTTGTCACAGCTATTGATCGAGTGCTGCGCGAGCGCACACTGAACATGGAGATTATTGTAAATAACAAGACACTCGAGAATGGTCTGCGCGTCATTCAACTGGAGACGGCGGTGGGTGCGGCCATGAAGTGCTTCGATGGCGCCATTGGCATCAATGTGCCTCGTTCTCGTTTCTTGCCTGTGAAGAAGTCGTCTGATCTGCTGCTTGTCATGTCTAATCTATATACGCTTAAGAACGGCAGCTTGGTGATGTCACCGCAGCGCATGTTCCCTACCACGCCCCTAGTCAAACTGGGAGAAAATCATTTCTCAAAAGTCAAGGAGTTCTTGGGTCGCTTTGCCAATATTCCCGATATCATTGAACTGGATCACTTGACAGTCAGCGGTGATGTGACCTTCGGCCGTGGCGTTTCCTTGCGCGTAAGTTAAACGAAGTTATTCCCAAGCATCTTCCTTTCTCTAATTAATCTCTTCCTTTTCAGGGCACCGTGATTATTATAGCTAATCACGGCGATCGTATTGATATACCCGCCGGCGCCATCTTGGAGAACAAAATCGTATCTGGCAACATGCGCATCTTGGATCATTAAACACTTGATCAAACGCACAAATGTGATATGCCAGAATCTGTCGTTATATTTGTAGCATAATTAACTAAGTTTATGTAGTAGCCATGTTCAAAGTTCCAAATTACGCGCTTCATTTAGCCAATTGTTGTAAGCACAAAGTGTCATATAGTGAAGCCGCATCATATATAAGTACATACATATATAGAGAATGTATCTGTACATAGTTAAGTTGGGAGATCAACACTTTTTTAACCATTAGCCAATGTGCTGTCAAAATTATTAAACTATTGAACAATTGTTAAATTAAATAAAGGCATATTTATAACTAAAACATAGGCATGTATGTATGTATTTGTTATGTACGACTTAAAAATGCTTATAGATTAATATATAATTTAATATTTGGTCGATTTTACGGAACGGTGCCCAATTGTATGGCACTGGCAAATGAGAGTCTAGTTTCACAGTTAAGTGGTTTTCTACTTCAGTTCATCTATCAGTTCATAATCCTTCGCCAGTTTGCCCAATTTGATGCCCTGTGCTAGCAGTTCCTGTGCGACTTTCATTTGACTCGTATTGGGCATAGACGTGCCCACAAAGCCCACAATGAGCGCATCCGTTTGTGGCACATTTGTGCCGGGCTTCTCACAGCTATCGTCCCAACCTCTGGCCACATACACGTTTCCATCGCCAGCCACCACAAAATTGTAGTTAATGTCCAGTTTTTTCCCATCCTCGATGTGTAGGCTTTGCAAAAAGCGCATGCGGAAGGTGCACGATGCTTGTGTGCCACATGGCTCTGACATTGTGGGCTCAAAGCGAACAATTTTGACTGGTAGCTCCAAGGGAGGTAGCTCCTTCAAAGCAGGCTGTGCCAGCCAAGCAGCGCGTGCCACAAACCTCAACGGTTCATTGTTCAATCTGCGTACTGAAACAAAACGTTAGCTAATGGCCTGAGCAACTGACTGTAGTTAATGGAGCTTACATGATGTCACATCTGCACTCCAGCGTGGCCAATGTCGCATCAGCTCAAATAACTTCTGCCCCGGACTTTCGGTGGGTCTCAATTGCCTGTGGGCATAGATATGATAATCCGGATGCAGCTTGTGCAAGCGTACGCCTTCGTCCATTAGTCGCTTGGCTGCACGCACCTGCTGATCCTCTGGTGCCACATTAGTAAAGGTGCCTATAAAGGCAATGCTGAGTGATACAGGGCCATAGCCCTTGACATGCTCGCCCTGTGCGTGCCAGCCGCGTCCCACATAGACCTGGCCATCGCCACCAACCAGAAAGTTATACGCAATATCCGTCAAGTCCAGCGAGCTCATATGGAAGGATTGAATCATACGCATCTGATAGATGCAGGCTTCCTGTAGAGATTTTACATTGAAATTAAATATATTTGATATATTTTATATATATTTTAGCTGTAGTAGAACTCACCTCTGTTTCGCAGCCCACCGTGGCAGTATGATGTATAATGACATTTGATACGGGCGTAGGGAGCAGTTTAAATCCGCTTGGGGGTTCCCCAAGCCACTCACTGCGATCCAGTATACGCAGGCCACTGCTAACCTGTTCGCTGTTTCGGCCTGAAGAGCATTAGAGAAACGTTTTGAGCTATTTAATTGATTGACAAAGTGCTAGGGGATTCCTTACTCATTAGCCACACGAAGTAAGCGGCGGCCGAGGCTACTAATACCAACAGCAGGCCACACATCCACAGCAAACCACGCATTTGCTTTACATTTGTATGCGGCGGCGGCGGCGGCGGCTGACTTTCGATGTTCGTTGTTAATTTTGTGGTTTTCATATCTCTAAATCTAAGAAAATAAAATGCCCAGAGATCACAGCGCTTTTGTCTTGCCAAGCTGGTAGCTCGTCGTCAACTGAACTGAGTCGTGCACAGTGATGAACAACAAATCACAAATGTTGTTTGCTTCAACTTTTATTTTGCTTTATTTTTTCTTTGGTCACAGAAAAATCCCCGATGTGAACTGCGCAGCAGCAGCGTTCCAATGAGCTTTTGTAAGCTTCGTTGTGGGTTTTGTTATGAAAGCTCAGTGGAATACCCTGTATGCTGAGACTAGATGGGGTAGCATGGCACACAAATGCAATTCAAAGAAAAACTTTCATTAATTAATTAATATTAGCTTTTAGACAAGGCTTGAAAAACAGGATATGCATAAGTCGGGCTACTTCTATGGCCAAAAAGACACAATCACTGTACTTGCTGGGGTATTTTTTAGCACATGCTCAATGTCTTGCTCGCATGTATTTTTATAAATTTTTGTTAGCGCTCTCAACCTTATAAATGTATATTTTTTGAAGCTCTTCTCTGGGAGGTGGAGCCTAACATATGTAGTCTATTCTGTTACTCATTTCGCCCAGCGATCTCTGTCACGAAACAGCGCTAAACAACGTGTTCGTAGAGAGTCGCCTAAATCCATCATATCATCTAACAAAGCTGATGATTATGAGCAGAAGAAAAAAAACAAAAGTAGATAAATAATTCATCATTAATAATTTCATCATTTCATTTTGTATAGAAAGCTTACGACTACTATATAGCAAGGGCAAATATGCCACATAATTAAATCGGGGAAAAAAGACCAGTCATGAGTACAATTATTATTTTTAGTTTTTGGATTGCTCAGGGTACTATTGTCCAGTGCGTCCAATTGGCCAAGCTCTTGTAGAGCAGTTCCGCATTGTATTCGGTAATTGTGGGCTCCAAAGTGCTGGCACCCACCAACTTATAATTTGACGCAATTTTGCCGTGATTGACGCCATGCTCCAGCAGTAAACGCGTCACGGTCAGCTGCTTGGCCGACGGCTCCTGGTGCCGAAAGGAGCCAATGTAGGCAATGCCCAAGCTGGCCATATTATAGCCATGCACGTGAGCTCCAACCACATCCCAGCCTCTGCCGACATAAACGTTGCCATCGCCGCCAATCAGGAAATTGAAGGTTATATCATCCTTCTGCTGCGACTCTATGTCAAAGGTCTGCAAAAAGCGCACACGAAATACGCATTGCGCCTGAGTGCTGCAGTTCTCCGAGTTGGTGGGCAACACTACCACCATGGGCACGGGCAGGCTCAGCGGCAGCTGCTTCAGCGGTGGCTGCGCCAGCCAAACAGCGCGTGGCACAAACCGCAAGACCAAGCCACCTCCTATGTTGTCCTGATCTGCAAAATATAGATAAGATTTGACTTCGTATAGTTAAATGTCTGTAGCATATTTGGTTTAGTATTCTAGTTAGAGCATTGCTATGCAGTAAGCGTGGCCAATAAAACGTCTTTAAAAGTAGGCTATTTCGGTTCATTTATTATAAATACAATAATACATTTATATATAGTTTGTTAACATTTGTTGTTGTCTAAGTTGTCTTTGCAAAATGTGACCAGGTCCTAATAATGTTATACAGCCTGTCGCCCGGACTTTGCGTAGCCAGCAGCTGCCGGTGTCCGTAGACCTGATATTTTGGCGATAATTTCATCAGCCGCACGCCCTCTTCTAGCAGTAGCTCGCAGCCACGCAGCTGCAGCTGAGTTGGCTCTGACTTGTCGAAGCTACCAATGAAGGCGATGCCTATGCTGTCGCTGTTGTGTTTGATAGTATGTGCTCCAATGTAATCCCAGCCGCGACCGACATAGACGCGTCCATCGCCGCCCACCATAAAATTGTAGCCAATCTGCGGCCAGTCCAATGAATCCATGTGATACGCTTGCATGGCGCGAACGCGATAAGAGCAAGCATCCTGGCGTAGACTTCAGTTTAGCGATACAAAATTCTTTGCCGAATCCAAATGCAGAGTTGGACTTACCAGCGTATAGCAGTTCTCAGTTACCGTGTGTGCTATAATGACGCGACTCACGGGCTGTTTTAATCGCTCCAGCGACGGACGCGTCATTTTGCCATCCCACTCATCTATACTGACCAAAACAAGTTTGCTTCCGTCGATAGCTGCGCACAAAAAAGCCTTGGTTAGTGGGTCAGTTAGCAGGGTATTCAGGATTCAACAATTCACACACACACATACACATACACATACACATGTAGTAATATAGAAGCGTGCAAAGGATAGATACGTAAATATATATATACATACGTGCATCATAGGTAGATATATATTGATATTTGTGAGTATATCTCGTGAGTTCATATTCCATTCAACTCAACATCGCGATTGCCAATTTTGGTTTCTTTTCAACACTTCACAACACTTTTCTAACGGCACAGCTATCAACAACGCGATATAGGTTTATGTTAAATGAGTTTCAGTTTGGTGAAAGTGCTTATGAAACGAACTTTAAACAGTACTAATTTTAGTCTACCAGTTTTATTTAATTATTTAAAATACAAATTACGATAGGATTATATATTTACATATCAACTAAGTGGGCTTATTCTTTGTCCAATGTGGCCAGGTCTGTATAATGCTATATAATATTTCACCGGGACTCTCTGTAGCGCTCAGCTGTCGATGCCCATAGAGACTGTAGTCGGGCGCCAGCTTCTTGAGCCGCACACCTTCGGCGAGTAGCAGCTGACATGCGTGCAGCTGGGCATCTGTTGGCCTAATCTTGATGAAGGTGCCAATGAAAGAGATGCCAATGCTGCCATGGTTATAGCCCAGCGTATGCGCGCCCTGGTAGTCCCAGCCGCGACCCTCGTACACCAAGCCATCGCCCCCAATGAGAAAATTGTAACCAATGTGATCCCAGTTCCAGCCATCCATATGAAAGTTCTGTACAACTTGCACTCGAGCCGCGCACACATCCTTAAAGCGAACGGGAGATTGTTGAAACTGATGCGGACTCTGATTTGCTGATCTGTTAAGCTTACCCGTGACTCACAGCCCTCGGCGGCTGTATGCGATATGATAACACGATGTACTGGCAGAGTTAGAGTCTTGAGCTTTGTTTTGGGCTCTCGTCCACCCCATTCCTGAACACTGACCATTTGCAAGGAATATGCTGCACGAAGTCACTTGGTATTAGATTAAGTTATCAGGCACTAAGAACTATTCATATTCCAGTCAATTGAACTAAGGTCACACTTTCAGTTCGAAGCACTTTTCAACACTGTTTAGCTCGATACAGTAACCCATATTCAGCGATAATCTGGAGTTGTATATACAACTATATGTATTTGTATATATTTTCGACGCGATCTTTAGTAATTTGTTATTAACGATATTGTACAGCAATTGCATTGGTTAAGCACAAATAAATTAATAGAGTAGAGCAAGAGATAGAAGTGTAGAAATGTGTGGTGGAAACTTTGCCAATTGCTAGCACCAATTTTAAATTGTCGAACACATAGAAAAGCGACAAAAACTGTACCTATTGTTGAATTGATTGGAATATTTTGTCTTGAGTCGTCGCCATCACCAAGCTTACTTTTATTTAGCGTCTTGCTAAACAGATTTGTGGTCGTTGCCAATATAACGAGCAGGCCAATGGTCAAGATGGCAAAGGCAGCTGTTACAAAAACAGCCCTCGAAGCGATTGTACTTGGCAGAAATGGACACATCACGGGCTCCTTGCAGGACTCATTCAGCTTGCCACCTGTAGGGAAGATTAAGAATCATATTATAGTAGATATGTAGTGCAGCTTATGGGAATATACCATACATTTACGACTCGCTAAGCTCTGTTCTAATATCTCTAAACGTTTCTCATGCTGCTTGAGGTACAATTCCAGTTTGATCGACGCCTGATGTAAACAGGAATCGCAGCGCCAGCTTATATTAGGCGTGACTTGAATAATTTTCAGCTGCTGCTCGCTTAAGCTACTGCATTTGGCATGAGAAACGTGCCCACAACCAGAGCCACATATGAGAGGATCACTATTTATACGCCCGCTACACTTTACACAATAATTCACGGCGTTCCTCGACATTTCTACATGCACGGAGTAACAGCAACTGCTTAAATCACAGTGAATCAGAAATGCCATTCCTTATAGAGCGGTTCTTTTTTACTCTATATATATATATATATATATATATATATGGTAAACATACTATATAGTATAAATAACAAGTATGTACGAGAATTGGCACTTGATTTGCGTGTTGGAGAAAGTAATTAATTGGCATTATATAATGACGTCGAATAAAAAATCCCCTTACTTCTGGGGTTACGTGAGTTTGATCCCAGTTTTATACTCTAGTTAAGGGGAAACACCGACTTAGTAAGTGTGTTTAACTAGTTGCTAGAGAACGTCAATTAATTCGTTAGAATTCAAATCAATTACAATTTCTATTTGCGGTCTTGTTGACTTAGTTCGAACTTGAATTATGGCAAGATTGACAATTATTTGAGTAAACAATCGCAACTGTAGCCAGCTGCCATTGTTATTGTTTGCTCATGTGTGTGGGCAGTGTTTGGCTCATTTCGACTAATTTATGGCAACAGGTCAGATGCGCAATATTCTTCCGCACACGTTGCGAATGCGCAATCTGCATCATTTCTGCAATGGCCATCGCTTTGTATACAAAAGGCAGTTGAGGATCAAATTTATTTAACGGTCTGAAATTAGAATTTGACTGTGTCTATCAAGATATATTAAGATATATTAATTTGCATATTCCCAGATTTATCAATACTGAGAACTTTTTAGCACTACTATAAAATTACTTTTATTTTAAATCATGTTAATTTTCCACTCGCAAGCATTTAACACATTTTTTTCTCAAATTCTGTATACGCAAATTCTCTCGCCGACCGACGAAATTATTTCAAAATGTCTGCCCTGTGGCGCTTTTGTTAACGCTCTCAGTAAACAAATAGCAAACTGAACAAAAAAAATAATAAATATTATTTGCACGCGTTGGGCATTAGCCACAGACCGCCCCACAAAACAAATAAGTGATCCAAGGTGAATGCGAAGCGTAAATAAAAGTGTCAGACAGACAGACACTAATAATCTCTCTCTCTTCTTGAAGTTTAGGTAGTGTGTTGCTCACCTGCAGCGTTGCCATTGGCCGTGGCCTGCGAATTGAAGCCGGGATTCTCCTGACCGCCCGTCTCTCCGTCCAGCGTTTTCCACTTCTCGCGATTATCGATCAGTATCTGCTGTATCGTTACTGGACCCTCGTAATAGTGCTTATCCCCGAATGTAACGTCTGTGGTGTTGGTCAACGCAATACTGCCAATTTGTTGTGTCGAGGCTGGCGTTGTTGGTGTGGCCAGACTTAGATTGCCATTGAGCAACTGCCTGGCCACCACATCAGGCGCCGTGGGCGTGGCACCCGCATCGGCACCGGTAGTGGGCACCACCTGTCGACTGATCACCGTTAGACCCTTGTTGAGCTGCGTCAGTTCGGCGCTTTGTGGCGGGTAGGTGGTCTGTTGGCCCAGCTTCTGCACCGTGCAGCTCTCGTCTGCGTCCGCCTCGGAGTCGCTGTCAATGCAGCTGGAATCGATGGCATTTTCATCGATGGACACAATAGAGATCGTAGTGCTGCGTATTGAGAGTGCGGGTGATGATTTCTTAGGCCGATAGGCAGCTGACGCTCCATTGTTGAGCTTCACTGTCGCCTCGACCTCAATGCTGATACGTTTTTGTGCATTGCCTTCCGCCTCCGTTTGCGTTGGCTCTGTTGTTGCTTCACAGTTTCTGCTGGTTTTCTGGCTGTTATCTTTAGTCGTTGGCCCCGCCTTGAATGTTGCACCATTATCAAGCAAACCGACGCCCGAATCTGTTGAGGATGTGCTGCAATTCTTGCCGCTGCTGCGATTTATGATGTGTAAACTTGTATTTGTGCTCGTGTTCAACTCCGTTCCATTGTCGCAATACATTTTTCGCAGCACCTGTAGCACTGGTTTCTACAATTTCTGACTGTGCTTTGTTATTGCTGTTGTTGTGGTTGTTGCTGTTGAGTAACGGCCTTTGCATTCAGCAACTGTTGCAGCGCAGTTGAAACATTTTGACTGAGTAAATTGTGGACAATGGTTTCTGCTATTTAGTTAGCCTGGCCTGGGCTCTAGGCAAACATCACATCATGAGCATCTGAAAGTAAATTTACATTTTCACTCGGAATTTTGATAACAGTTAAGATGCAGCTTATTCAGTAGTGATCGACTAAGAGATACCTTGTACCCAGCGCAGAGCTAATATTCCCATCTTTCTTTTTCTAAACATTTAGCTAACAATATATGCACATACGCTCATATGCACGCGCTCTGCTCGCTCTGCTGACTGCACAGCGGCTGCAGCATGGAATGTCCTATGGGTACTTAATGGCTGAATAACTTTCGTTCTAGTTGGACTTTCTTAATTACAATTTTGTTTTGAGTTTGATAATCATTTCTATTAAATATATTTATAAATTTTAATCTTGAAATCAAATTATTATTATCGATAACAATTGTAAATAGGTTGACTATGGTCGTTGTATATACGTATTTATATTTAAGATATTATTCTGCCACGCCTCCTTCTGCCTGCTACATGCGCGTCCACAAAACCAATTTACCCAGATTTCCCATTTTCAAAGGGTATAAAAACGGCGAACAAATGATAAAATTTAGCGAGTCAGCTTTTCGCTATTTATCATTTAATGTTTGCTGTCTGTCCAGAGTCTTGCAAGATTTAATGAATTTTTTTAAATTATTGCTGAACAACTCTTACAATTTTAATTTATAGAAAAATTAACAATTTTACTAGACAACCTTTCTATATTTTTATTTAATTATGTAATTCATTTCCTTTGTGTGAACAGTTTAAATTTTATAAGTTTGTTCTTAGCTTGTTGATTTGCTGATAAGCATTTCAGGCCACTGGAGAATATGAATATATTTATGAGTATATATAAGTAAAGGCATATATATATATATATATATATATATATATATATATATATATATATATATATATATATATGTAAATGCCTGTTAAAGGGTATAATCTGTTTTTTTTTACAACTTATTAACGGTCTAGCTTCGAAGATTTACAATTCCAATGAAGTCTAGCTTCAGCAAAATTCTTGAGGCATTTCTCTTATAATGAGTCTAGTAACTGAGACTCTCGATTTGGTAGTTTTACGAGTTCCTTGATAAACATCAGAGAATTTGCAACCATTTTCTATACGCTCTAGTTCTAATGATTATCATTAGATTAAAGATACTATCATTGAGTATTAAAAAATAAATTTTTAGAATTTATAGATTTTATTCATAATCAATGAGATCAAAGCTGCAAACCAGTTTTTAAATCGAACAACAATTTATTTATATTAGAAACAAAACCTAAAGCAAACGAGACAATAAAATATTTTGATCACATGAACATATTTAGTGTGCCAAAAGTTGGCTTAAAAAGCTGCAACAAGCCAAATTGTTATGGGGGAAGCTTTTGGCTTGCAGCCCAGTTTTAGAAGAGTATATTAGCTGTCCACATATTGCCTGAGCTATTCAATTCAGTCAAAGTACGCTCTGAGTTGCGGCGCATGACTTATGCTAATTATAATAATTTGTATTGGCGAGTTTGTAAAATGCATTCCGAGAACTTGGTCGGCCGCTTGAAAAGCTTCGCAAACAGTTTTATGACAAGAGCAAAGCTCACATATATTCTGTATATATTATATACTTATTACGATTATATGAGTCCAGATATGCTGCATGAAACCAAGGTCGAACGTCACGACATAATGGCGTCACAGTGTTTTGATTGACATTTGATTATTCGCAATATCCAGGTTGAAGTAGGGCTAACAAACAAATTCTTTCATGCCAAGGCATTTCCTCGAATCAAGCCTGAGGGCTCAGCTGGGTCTGCCAGATATTGGGGATGTGTTTGTATCAGTGTATGCGATAAGGTGCTCGCTCCCGTTCCAGTTGGCACAGAGCGCACTTTTGAGATAACAATGGCGCGGCAGCACTTACAACTACATCAAGAATAACACACACACACACACACATACACATACAGAGACATCGCCTCGCAGTCTCTGAGCTGCTCACCAATACAGACAAAACGGCATTTAAGCGGCTGCGGCCATTGCCACTAATACACATGCAGCCATTGCTGTCTGTGTGTTGATCGTCAAATATATAAAATGAACAGCAACAACAACAAGAACAACAACAACAGCAGTGCAATTACCAAGTTTCGCTTGTCTGTTTCATGTGTGTTAACAATTATCATTGAATGGGAATTGCTGGGCGCAAATGAATTGCGTTTTTTATTTCGCCTCTCTTTTTATACTCGTTCTCAGAGTGAAGAGAGTATATTAGTTTCAGACGCCCACAAGCGCAAATCAGGAAGTATTTTATCTATTGAAACATAAAGGCGCTATTCAAGCTAGAGAATGGGGTCTGGGGCAGAATGGGGCATGACCAATCTGAAAAGGAAAACAAACGCATATTCCTTGAGTTTTACAGCTAAAATCGAACAATTTAGCAGTTCGATCAGAGACGACCTCCTATGGTGCGCCCATTGGGGCGGGTCAAATCCGAAAATATTGATTTTTGAATAAATTTGAGTGTTTTTGGGTCGTTAACGAGCATTATGCAGTCCGTTTACTTGATTTTTTTTGTTTTTATTTTATTTGTTGTGATTTTGTCTTGCTGATTTATATGCACATCGTCTAAGCTACACCATGTATATAAAGAGATATTGTATTGTATATATTCAACACTTTCCATATATGTATATTCTTTGTATTATTCAAGCTTAAGTTTTATCTTTATTTGCTTCACATTTTTTTTCATTTTATTTATAGGTTTTTATATATATTTTCCATTGTATTTTATTTTGATTTTTTTCTTGCACTTTCTAACATAAGTTTTGTTGCTTCCGTATAAATAATAATAATAAATTTACTGTGTTTGCATTGCTATTTCCATTGTGTACGCATCATTACCGTAAATTTAAGGCATCCGTGGGCTGAGTTACAATAAAAACACGAATTTAGTGCGCGTTTTTCGTAATCAATTAAATATTTTGAGAAAAAAAACCAAAAACTAACGTATTAATTTGTTGGCTTTACACACAGACTATATATAGTATACGCATAAATATTAAGTTTTTTTTTTTGCAGTATATGGCGGTAAATTGAAATCAACGCGCAGCGACACGTTCGAGAGGCTCCGATCAACTGAGCGTCAATCAAATCGCGAGTCGCTGAGCCGAAGACCCTTGCAGCGAGCGTTGGTGGCTGCTGTTAGTCGAGAGTAACTGTGAGAGATAGCAGGCAGGTAGAGACGCAGCAGGAGAGACGAGCGCAGAGAGAGAGAGAGAGAGACAGAGAGAGAGAGAACGACTCGACATCGGAAATTTGTACAAAACGCCCATAGCTGAGTATATAAATGCGAATTTCGTCTATTCTCTGCAGCCGATTGATAATGGATTTTCCTCAATATTATCGGAGTTTGTTTTAAGCTCTGCTTATTCTTCAATGCCATTAGCAATGCACAAAAAAAACTTGCTCCAGTTTCGCAAATCGATCTTGTTAATATTCATAAGTTATTTTCCATCTAGGTTCTGTTCCACATAAAACTAAACGAGTTTCATAGTCAGAAGGAAAATCCCTAGTCACATTTTTTCTTCGCTCATTTCTGTTTATCATAGATCTGAGCATCCTGTGCGTCACTCTCAGTCGAACCCGTTCTGCCAGCCCAGTTATTTGACTTTCCAGTTCGGGTTTTTTCGAATTTTTGAGACAACTCAAATATTAATGATTTTTTCGTGTCTAGCTTTTTGCTCTTTTCTCCAGCTTGTTTAACGCTCCACTGTTTTGATTATATTTAGACAGTTTTTTTTTATTGTTTTGCCTTGTTTTTGCTGTTGTTGTTGTTGTTTGTACAACTTATAAACAACAAAAAAATCCAAATACAAATACATAACGACAGATGCTATGCAGAGTGTGGGCTACACAAAAATTCTGAGAAATGTTTTGTTTGCTTGCGGTAAGCAAAATCTTAGTATATCTAAATATATATATATATATATATATATATATATGTATATATATATATATATATATACTCTATATATACATATATATATAAGAAATATTTAACTAGCGAAACCTTTGCAAAAGAAAGTAACTCTTAACAATGATATTTTAAGTTCCGCACCATTTTCCGCAACCAGGAAATAGTCTAAGGCTCAAGTTTGAGTTCAGCTGTACCTACAGACCAACTCAGATAGGTTTTCCCATTGAAACTGTCATTTAATCTTTTATTTATTTCATTGGCTCTGAAGTGCTGCTGCCGATTGATAAGCTTTTGAGTGTTTGAGCATTTGTTAACATAGGTCATTAGCTAATCAGGCAAGTAGATCACATAACTCAAGCAAACAAGCTACACAAAACTGAGTCAGTAAATAAAACTGTCAGAGTTCAGATATTCTGTTTTATTTGAATTTTACTTAAAAAGAATGGAACTCTGCACTTTTTAGTTATCAAGGGAAATTGAATAGGTCCCAAATGATATACAGTTTTTAATTAACTCTCAAGCACATCAAGAGCCGACGACAACAACTGAAACAGCATCAATATAGTAATGGACGCATCTGTGTGTGTGCGAATTGTATCGATAATAATGTTGTACTAGCCGCATATATACATATTCATATATATACAAATGATATATATGTTTATATATAAACTTACAGACAACCCGTCTCTATATATATGCTGATAGGCTTGGGCATTTCCAGCTTTTGAGTACCGCGCAATATAAACAAAACAGCTTTTGAGCGTAGTGAAACAGAGAGCGCAGCGCAGAGAGCGAGCTCCGAGCTGAGTTTAAGCTGCAAGCGATACGTGCTCTATAAATAAAACACCTGTATGGCAGGCACACACCTTCGAACCGGTTCCGAGTAAAAATATTAATGAAGATTTTGCATTTGGTCCAAGCTTAAACTGTTGTTTTTGTTTTAAAGTATCATTTGGTTTACTTGTATGCAACAACGTGTATGTGAATGTGTATGTGTATATGTATATGTATGTGTTCGTGTATTTTTAAAGCTAACTGTGCGCTTAAAGTCTACATAGTTATTGGCTACCATTCCAGGCGGCATTTGTCATGCCCAGCTCGCTGCCGCACTTGGGCGCTTCGTCCACGCTGCAGCCGTAGAAATGCGGCCATTTGCTAATCTCACGGTAGACATTCACGCCAGGGCTCTTTGTCACTTTGGTCTGTATGGGAGAGCCAGAAAATAAGTTTATCAATAATCTCTCAAAATATTTAATTCTAAAATTAATGAATCGGCATGAATTATCGAAGACAAAAGAGTCTGAGCTTTAACTGTAGAAATTCATTTAATAGCTTTTTCAGAATTCATTTAGCTCTATAAAATATTTATTTAAATACTTGATAAATGAATTAAGTATTGACATGAATTATGCATGAAATTATAGTGGAGATTTTAGCATTTTATGAAAATGGAAAATGGAGAATTTAGAACTATATTTCTTCGAAGTTGTAGACAATGTTAGAGAATTTTATGAGCTAGAATACTTATTGAAATGAAAAGCTTATAATAAAATATTATATTTTTATTACTATTAAATAAGTATAAACTCGTATGCAGAGAGAAACAGTTCTCTATGTAGAAAGGAATGTCACAAATAACTGCTTAGCTTAGCTCTATTACTATAAGTTTTAATCACAGTAAAACTGATAAATATGTAGTCAGCTGCAAAACAGCTAGAAGATGTATGCTTTAACTATATCATCCTAATCACTGTCTACCTAAGTCTTCCTAGTGTGCCAGACAGCGCATAGCACAGCTCTACATTGGTGTAGTCAAACTTGAATGAATTGAATTCTTAAGCAAAGCTCGAAACGCGTAGCTGCACTTTAATTTTATTGAACTTCAGCGACTTGACTCGACTCTAGTTTAGGCAAACTTACCTGATTTTGTGCGACCAGCTTGTAGTCTAAATCCAATTTGCGATTGGCTACTGCATGGGCCAGCAGGAATTGCACACCCTCCAGCTGCTTGGGTGTGGGCACATAGCGGCCATAGTCGCCCATAAATGTGATGGCGAGTGTGTGATTCGCATACGTGTTGGCCCAGTCCCAGCCGCGACCCACATAAATGTTGCCCTCATCGGAGACCTGCGGTCGAGTCAATACAATTTGCGTAAGCAGCGAGCGAGCGGAAAGCGAAATGTCCAAAAAGTGTTAGCCGGATGAACGTGCAGTGAATTTGTGTGCAATTGTTTGGGGCTGCTTACGTAAAAATTCGACTGTATATCCGGCAGGCTCTTCTCCGCTATCGCCGAGTCCTGTATGGTGCGCATTTTGATTGAGCACTTGTACAGATTGAAGCAGGGTGTCGACTGGACGCCCACATGCGTGATTAGCACATAGGGTATGGGTTGCGGCAGCGCCACCTTCAGCTCCTTGGTGCGCTCGGAGGCGCCCCACTGCACACGCTCGATGACCAGATGACCGTTTCCTAAATTCGGAACTGTTCAACTTGTGAATAGACTATGGCGGCCGCATTTGTTGCCCACTTACACGTGCCGTCCTCGTAGGTGTTGCCAAAGTAAATGGACTTCTGTGCCAGCTCGTTGCGCGTGCGGCTCAGCTCCAAGTACACAATGACAATGGCCATCGCCACAACCAAAACAACGAGCAGGCTCAACAGTATTGAGTTGCGTGTAAAGCGTCGCGCCTTCGAGCTGCCACGTCTGCGCTTCCCGCCGGTCCCTTCGCTGCTGTTCGAGCTGTTGCTGCTGCGACTGTTGCTGTTGATTCCTGCAAACGATGATTGTGATAGTGTTAATGGTAATAATGTTTGATTGAATGTTAGTGGGCCATTCTAGTTATGGTTAGTACACCTACTTGGCGCTGGAGGCGCTGTATAGTTGCGTTCGGGTGTGCGACGATTACGCGCCTCGGAATGTACTTTCAGCAGCAGCTTCATGACGATGGGCGCTAATTATAACGTTTAGTGCTTGTATAATAGCGCCCAGTGGATACACACACGCACAGCTTATCGACACACACACACGTACACTTTTACTTTTAGCAGTTTGTTTGCTTACGCATAGATGAATTAAGTTCAATTTGTGGGTTTCTGTGTGTTGTGACTAACGTTGAATCATGCAAACTCTGTGCCTAATCAATGCTTGGCGCTGTAGCAATTGAAATTTGGATGAGAGATATGCCGCGCGTATGGAAGAGCGTGGCACGTAGCGTGGCCACCTCTGACCGTTTAATGAGCGCTGGCCGATGGCGCGCGCAACTGCCGCACCTGAACCCGTCACTGAAACGACTGACAAAGCGCTGCGCATTGCCGCGTCGATTGGCGACGAAGTCGCGACGCGTCGCTGGCAACTCGAACGGCATTGTTTGTGTGTTGGGCACTTCTTGCCCTGCGCTGCCCAGCGAACGGCTTAGTTGACATGTTTCATTTGGTAAACAGGGGAGCGGTTGGGGCAGGTGCTATGACTGCGTCGACGTCGACGTCGGCGCCGACGTCGTTGGCTGCGTCATGCTTTGCCGGGCTTTGTTATTCTTGCTGTTGTTGTTGGTTTCCGGATTTGCCATATCGCTTACACTCTTTTAAATATATTTATGTATATAATTGTTTTTCTTATTTTGCACTTTTGTTTCACGTCTCTCATTGCTTATTCTCTTTTGTTTTAAATATTTTTTTGAAGTCTGTTTTTGTTTTAATTGCGGGGCGCGTCGCCAGACAACATGACGTATGCGCAATGCACTACGCCTCGCATTCGAAATGCGCTCCTGCTGTTATTTGGATGTGCTTGCCTTGGTATTAGTAGATTTTATGAGGCCATTTCGTTGTATTAGTTGAGGTGCTCTGCTTGTATTTGTGCAGCTGGTTTACCTGGAATCGGACAAACGGCAAGGTTGTCTATGCACAGCTACTTGACTACTTGGCATTTTTCATAAATTTACTTTCCACTTTAGATAAATGGGGTCGTTACATAGCTTAGCTAGATAAGAACCTTGTCGATTGAAAGGCTGCCTAGATGGTGCTGAAGGTGTTGTATTCCAAATTTGAAATAGAGAAAACTAAATGGAATATGATGAAACAATGTCTGCAAATATACTGTACACAGAAGTTAGACTAGCTAGCAGTTGATAGCTTTTAATTATGAAGAATTACAAATTATTATATGTTACATATATTCTGTTAAGTAATTTGTTTTTACTTTGAAGTACCTAAACTCTCGTAACTCAGCTAAGCTCCCCTTTCACACGTGCATGCGAAAAGCTTTCTTGAGATCCTCCCATAATTTTAACTGTGTGTTTGCTGTTCCGTTCAGTTGTTCATATCTTTGTATATATTCATTACGACAACAAAGCCGCAAAAGCTTTCTGTGTTTCCCACAATATTTACATATATTTGACTTAATAATTTTCCAGCAAGTTAGAGTATTTATCTCGGCTTGACTATCGTGACTCACCTGCAGCAGTCTGCATGCTGGCATCCATATAGTATATGCTGACCGGTCCTTGGTACTGGGTCATGGGTCCAATGACCACATCTGTTGAGTTGGATAGATTGATCACACTGGAGGGCTGTATGGCTGGATTCGTAAACACATTCTGCGGCATGGTCATCGTGGATGTTGCAGAAGCCCTAAACGTATGATTGTTAATGCCCCGGCTTCCATTGCCATTGCCGATGCTGCCTTCTCGCCACAGTGCAGTCTGCTCGGATGGCTGCTCCTGTGTGCCCTGCTGTGTGTACATGTCGCCGTAGCTGTGCGCTGCGTGCCGTTCGAGTGCCAAGCCAAACAGCGACTGACCGAAGTTGAACTCAACCGATGATGTTTCTACTGGTGCAATATTTCTATATAATATATATTGTAGCTGAATTCAGTCCGCTGTGAGGGCGCTCCCGCTCGGATTAGTTAGCAAATGTTCTATCGAAAACAGTTATCCACTTAAATATATAAAAACTCAGGCAATTTGAATTATTTTGTTGGCTAAAACAGTTGTAAATAAAAACATATGCACATATATTATTACAAATGATTGCAGTGTAATTATTTTTGTGCTACAGCTGATTGAAGTATTTCAAATGAATTTCTCATGTGATTAAATTTATACTATAATTTAATTACGATTATCCACTAAAAAGTGATTTGTGTGGTTTTTAATTTACAAATTTGTTTAATATATTTTTGATAAAATAGGGAATGTATATAACATTGTATGAAAAACATTTTTTTATATTTATTCCATAACTTTTTAGAATTTTACAAATATTTTACTATTGTTTTATATATTTTGGAAATTCTACAATTTCCTTACAATTTTATTAATTAATTTTTTTTAATATTTTTTAATTGACAAACTGAATTAAACTTCTAAGAGTTTCTCATTGAAATTCATAATTTGTCACAGGCGCGCCATCTATCGTCTAAATGAAATGTGCATATGCAAAAAGCTGTAAGAGCTTTGCTTAGTTCACGAAATGGCCAACATGGCGTTTTATAAGCAGCACGCATTTATTAATCATACGCCCCGTACCACAGTTGAACCTGCCTAGAATCCTTCCAAAAGAAGTTAGCTTAGGTATAATAAAATTAGCTCTTAATTGGTTTTAACTAATGCTAATGAAGTTTGCTTCAAATATTTAGTGTCAATTTCATTAGCTAATTCTTTATCAGCTTTAAGCAGCTCTGCTCTGTTTCACATTTAATGCCAGAGCACACAATCCCTGCACACACTCTCGCTCACTTTCGCCTCGCACGCCAGACGCAACACTTGACTTGCCACGCCCCAGTGGCGCCGCCCCGTGTGTCAAGTCATGCAAAATGTCGACGGCGGCGTCTGCCCTGGTGGTTGGGGGGCTATTAACACGCAGCAGTGCTAGCAAAAACAAAGCGCATACTTTGACGCATGCCCTCCTAATGACGACCACGAGAATGCTGCATAAAGACGACAACGACAACGACAACGACAACGACAACGTGGACGCGCCAGCTGCCCCAATGGGGCCACGACTTTGTTCCTGTTCAGCTGACTTTAGTAGCTGCTTTTTTTTTGCTTCTCTGCTCCTTTTTTATTTAACCTCTTTATGTGGTGCGGGTGTGGGTGTGGGTGTGTACCATTGTGCCAACAACTGCATGCAGTAGCAGCATCAGCAGCAGCAGCAGTAGCTGCCGTTGGAGCAGCAGCAGCAGCAGCCGTCGCAGGTGAAAACCCCAAAGTGCCCCAGGACAGTGCGAAGTGCTGAGTCAAGTGTCAACTGCAAATGACATTTGCATTTCGCTGGCTGCCTGGCTGCCTGGTTGCTGTCGGGGTGGTGCGCCAAGTGGCGCGCGGCTTGGTTGGTCGGTGGCTACGCGTCAACTACGACTGACATTTGTTTTAGTTTTTCTTCCGCTTTGCGCCAGCCATTTGGCAGTTCGTTGTGTTTCCTCTAGCAGAAAAAAACACAAGAAAAGTAAATAAAAAAATGAGAAAAAAAATTGAGAAAAAAAATTGAGAAATATGCAACAACAACAATTACAGAAAAATGTCGCTGTGGAAATTTAAGCTGTCACGAGCTCTGCTAATACTTGGGCGCTCGCGTTAGCAACGCATTTACTGGTTACCCTAAATGTCGTGCCCGCTGGGGGTGCGGCGGGGGCGTGGCACTTGCCTACTTTACTATGGCAGGCGTAAGCCAACAGCTGCGCTGTGGTCCTTCGAGTTGAAAGTGTTGCAAAAGCTGCACAGACCTTGGGCAGTTGCTGCAGCTCAAATTTTATTCAATGTGGATTTCTATAAAATAAAATGTGAATTATTCACGAATTTGCAATTTTAGTTTTGTTCTAAAGTTAAGCTAGAGTTCTTAAGGCTTATGAATAAAATAATATTTAATTAAATCCTTTTTGAGCCTGATTCACTTTAAGCTAAGAGAAAGTCTAAGGTCGATATGAAGTGTGTGGTGCATGCTTAAAATCTCCGCTTGCCATAAAAATGTTTCTCTATTTTCTTACAAATTTGTGCATTTAATTTAAGCATTAACTCGTTTAGCTGCCGCACAGGTGCAGCTTGCTGGCTTGGCTTGGCTTGGCTTGGTGTAGTTTTAATTTCGGCAAGGCAAGACATGTTAAGCATGTATTTAATTATGTTGCACAGTGTTGGCTGCGTTTTAGGTTCTTAAATAATTGCCACCTTGGCCAGCCATGTGTGTGTGTGTGTGTGTGTGGCTCGCCAGTTTGCAAGTCAGCTCGTTGCCGCTGCTGTTGCCGCCACTGTTGCTGCTGCTGCTGCTGCTGCTGTTGCTGGCAGTGGTCTAACCTCGACTCTGCAGCTCTTTGTGGCTGCTTGCCACATGTTTACTTATTTTCAACATACATAATTACATTTTCATATGCAGAGTAATTAGTGAGCTGTTTGCTATTTGCGCTATGGCAAAAGTCTAGACTTTCGCTTCGTTTTTATGGAAATCCGTGTTTGCGTGTGTCCAGCTGCTCTTTGGCGTCGTGCAACGGTTCATTTCATTAACGCACAACAACAGCGAATTGATTAGGTTGCCCCATCTACGTCCCCCCATATTCCCCCGTTCGCCCAAACTGCTTAACGTCGCCGTCCTGCATCTCCGCCTGCTGCGAATGGCTCGTAATGCAATTGCATCCGACAATATGCAAATTAGGCGAACCTATGCGACTCACTGCAGCTGTGAGCGTTCCAAATGCTAAATTGTGGGCATAAACTACATTAGCACACATTCCCCAGGCTTCTTCTTTCCCAATGCCACGCCCCCACCGCCCAATTGCCAGCTGCTGTTCTGCATAAGTGGCAAGTTAGTTGCTTGGCAGCACGCTTTAAATTGCTAGCGATTTGTCTGCCCTGAAAGCATTGGGCATTTCAAAAGGGGGCGTATGCTGATGGGCGTGGCTGGCAAACAAATGAGTTAAGTTAACTTTAATATGAATTGGTACAGATACCAGCTACCAGATAGCAGTCAGAGCAGCTGCTCAACGAGTCTAATTCACTCTGCCAAGCCAGCCAGCCCAGCCCACCCAGCCAAGGGCCGCCCACAATTGTCTTATCTAATGCGATTACGGCGCCAAACTCAATTTGCAAAAGACTCGCTAGATGATTATTGATTATCGCAGCATATCGCATTACAGCTATAGACTCAAATCTATTCAATTTGTATGTGCCTCAAAATAGAACAAAGCGCAGAGTGGCTGAGCGGGCAGAGCATTTAATGTAGTCAGAAATTAGCTTGAAATTATATTTGATTTGTGTTAAACAGATTTGAAAAGTTGTTAATATTATTTAAAACTGTTTTTATTATTTAATAATTTGTGGT